CGAAGCGCGAAGTGGCGAGGGTTCACTGTACTTAACATATAAATATACACACATAGGCCTACACCCCTATCATTATATATTAATATATTTACGTATGTTAAAAGTACCTTTTTTTAACCTGACTTTTTATATCATAAATAGTATGAGGCACTGGCTTAACCAAGTGGAAAAATAGCATTGCCACTCCTGACATGGGACGCACAGTGTAGGAGCTGCTTTGGGGAGAGAAATCAAATGTGTTGTTTTGGCCACACTGAATTTGCTATGTCCATTGAGCACCCGGGCCATGCTGTAGGGTTGTTGTTGGCTGCTGTGGGGCAACCCTGTGTGTACAGATTAGAATGGCTGTGCTTTTTTGGAAGCAGGTCACCAGGCTTTTCTTCCGGAGTGCCCCTGATAAATTCAACCACCAGCCTTTTGGCTAATCATCAACCACTTAACCATTTGCAACACACAGGGACTCCTTGATGTGGAGGAGGTCACTGGCTAGGTGACCCTGGTGTTTGAGGAGAGATTAGGCTTGGAGGTGGGAGCGTGGGATCGTTCATCAACATGCAGAAGGCAGTCGATGCTACAAGATGAGAGGAGCTCATTTAAAGAGGAAGAGTAGAAACCAGCAAGGACAGATAAGAGAGCATTATATTTGATAAATTTGGATCAAAGCTTCAAATTGGTTCAAAACAATTTAGCTACTGCCAAGGGAAACAAGGGTAGAGTTTGCCCTGTAGAGCAACCCAACCTCTTTCACATCTGATTTTGATCCAAATAGGCAGAGGAGCCCTCATGGTGTGATGGCTACAGTGTGGGCTGCTACCCTCAAGGTCAGCACTATGAAACCAGGCACAAAGGGTTGTGGTCTGAGAAACGCACAGGGGCAGTTCGAGTGTGTCCTGCGGGGTTATGATAAGTCAGAATCGACTCAATGACAGTGAGGCTTTTGGAGGAAGGAGGCAGCGCTGCCCCCCTCAAATATCGAGGCTGCTTATGCTACTTTGAAGGTGTTGCTATCATCTTGAACAGGTTCAAAGCCCTGCTGTGGAGAGCTGGCATTGCAGTAGCACCGTGAGAAAGTCTAAGTGGAGGAGCATAGGGAGGGAATAGGAAATGAGAGAGTCTCAACACAATAGAAAATTATGCTGGCAGGGGAGCACAGAGACAGTGAAGATAGATGTGGGTTAAGGGAGATCTATTGAAGATAAGTTATCTTCAAATATGCAGCTAGGAATGTCCAGTGGAAAGGTAGGAAGCAGGTGATGCAGATATTCGCCCGAATGCCATTGACAATAGCCTTGCAAAATATTACATAGAATATTTTACACATACATATTAAAGTGGACATTAACAGTAGTTACAGGAATTATATTCAATCTTCATTCCATTTCCCACAGGATTCCACTGCGTCTCCATGCTCAAGGTGAGAAATCAGGATTCATTGAGGCAGTGGGGGATGATAAGTAGAGACACTGAAGTCGTGTTTAGTCCTCCATGGCGAAGAACCAGAAAGAAATGGAACCTGGCTGGTTTTGGGGGGTTCCGTGACATAAATCCAATTTCTTCATCTCGAAAACTTGCATCTGGTGGATAATTTCTTCCTACTAATCTACTGAAACTGAAATGAAATGGAAACATGTTTGTCATTTTGACAGGAGTACAAAATTTCAAGTTTTGAGCAGAGGCTGATGAATGAAATAGAGTTTCGTTTGGAACGTACCCCCGTTGATGAATCAGATGATGAAATCCAACATGATGAGATCCCCACAGGCAAGTGCATTGCCCCCATCTTTGACAAGAGACTCAAGCACTTCCGGGTCACAGAAGGATCGCCAGTCACATTCACCTGCAAAATTGTTGGGATACCTGTTCCAAAGGTAAGGGAAGGTAGTGGGTAGGTTGGCCGGACCGCAAACCAGAACTATAGACCTCGTCTTCAAGAAAACCTTAATCTACTTAAATATCTACAGAGGAAATAAAAGCCAATGCCAGAAAATTATCAAAGCCCAGACAAGTTGACTGAAAGGAGACCAGGAAGAATAGGATTGTTAAATAAAGAAAAGAAATTGGGGGGGGGGGATAAAAGTAAGAAAAATCTGACTACAAACAAAAGAGAACTTTAATAAACACTTTAGATAAATTTCTTAATCATGATTCCATATTTTGGGCTACATATTCTCTCAATTGTAAAATCCTCCAAATTGATATTTTTCCATATACTATTTATTGTGCAAGGAGCCCTATTGGCACAGTGGGTTAAGCATTGGGCTGGTAACCGAAAGGTCTGGGGTTCCAACCCACCAGCTGCTCCCTGGAGTAAGACCAGGCAATCTGCTTCCATGAAGATTTATAGCCTCAGAAGCCCTATGGAACAGTTGTGTTCTATCCTATAAGCTGGTTGTGAATCAGAAACAAGTCAACAGCCATAAATTTGTGTTTTGGTTTGGTATTTATTGAACATCCACAGGGTGCCTGTTGTACTAAGTGAGCTATAGTTGTATCATTGCTATTAGATCAGTAAATTCCAAAAATGTCCTATTATTATCACAAGCTGCTAAAAAAGCTTCTGAGTCACCAGATTTTTTGGCAGCCAGCTGAGAGAAGGATTTGCACCCGATGTGGGCTGTGGCAGGGCACCTCTTCGCTCTACTTTCACAAACATTAGCATGGCGTTATCACAAATATTTGGGCAACCAAGAGGCGGAGAGGAGGGCAGCTGCCAGCAGTACTTTATCCTCCATGTCTTTGCAGGTCTCCTTGACATGCAGAACTTAACAAGAAAAAACAACAGACTTAATTTCTTCTCTTTTTTTTAGCTTCGTGAGAAATGTATTGAGTTAATTCTACTGGGTGTAGCAAAGCCTGCCGTTCTTTGAAGAGAAGTGAGCTCTTCTAGACCTTGTCATTTGCAACTACAGGAGACTTGAGCTAAGAAAGAAGACTATGGGGAAAGACCCAAGCTCCTAGTTTGCATTATTTGCCTCTAGGAGACCTCAGTTTCACTGCGTGGCTTTTCAATGAATCATCCTCCAAAAAATAAAAAAATCCAAACTCACTGCTGACTCATAGTGAACCCCTGTGTGTTTCTGAGACTGTAACTCTCTGTGGGAGTAGAAAGCCTGGTATAATAAAATGCTTGAATCCAAATTATATTGTTCTTTTAGCTTAGATATTGTGTATATACAAGTGCAGGATATTATATTGTTACTTAAATAAGGCTCATAATTTTTAAAGTGGTTCTTCTTAAAGGTCACCTATTGTAGAGATGGTAATTTACCCCTGCCTCACTCTACTCCCTATTTCATTGTCCTCGAAAGATGCACAAAACAAGGTGTGTTCTTCTTGGTTATCTTTCATTTCAGGTTTACTGGTTCAAAGATGGAAAGCAGATTTCTAAGAGGAATGAGCATTGCAAAATGAGGCGAGACGGAGATGGGATGTGTTCTCTGCACATTGAGTCTACCACCAGTGACGACGATGGCAACTACACCATCATGGCTGCCAACCCCCAGGTGGAGAGGCAGGGCTCTGCACTGGGCAACACTCTGAGGACAGAGTAGTGGATGTCATTGTAAAAGAAACCTGGAGAAGTGCACGTTACCAGGGACTACTAGGGAAATGAATGGGAAACTGGTAGTGTGGGACTAGAGTTCAGGATCCCAATTTAAAAGATCAATTAGTCACTAAGGGGTCACTCAACCCTTCAACCTTTGTCCAAGGGCATTAGTAGTATCTAATCACTATGCACAGTCTCCCTCGAAAACTGTTGGGCTAAATCTTATATTTGCCAGCACATTAACCCTCTTGAAGAAAATGTTTTCTGTTAAAGAGTGACTTGCTGCTTTGGGTCTTTACAGACTAGGCAAGCTTTTTTCCCTCAAATCCATGGCCTTTTTTTTTTTTAATCAATGTTGGAAAGCCATAGTCTTTCACGTCCCTTTTCTGGATGGGGTCAAAACTAAAATTCTCATAAAATATCTGGCAGAGTAATCATTCTCAGCAACGGTGTGCATAGGGATTACAGAACAGGAATTCCCACTCTCATCCACTGATCCTATCACAAGGCCTCCAAAATCACAATTTCGAAGATAAGCAAAGGATAAAAATACTTGACCCATCTCTTTCTGTGTGTGAATGCAAATCATGTTAACTGCACAACAATTCAAACATTTTATTTTACATCTGCCCTCTGTTCTTTTCCCATCCTCAAAATGAAATGCGTTCCCGTGCTGTTTAACAGTGAGTTAAGGAGTCACATTTTATCATTTTAATTCCTTGTACAGACAACAACAACAAAAGGAAATTCACAATAGTTCACCAAAGGTCTATAAAGTTCTGGTTTAAAGAAAATGTATGTAAACTGGAAAAAAATATGAGACTCCTCTCACTTTAATCTTCTTGTCCATCTTGTGTTTCTCAGGGGAGAATCAGCTGTTCAGGCCACTTAATGGTACAGAGTCTGCCCATTCGTAGTCGCCTAAGCACTGCTGGTCAGTCTCACAGGTAAAAGCAATTGGAATCCCCCTTCTCTAGCACCCTCCTCCAATAAGCACTGAAGTTGTAGATCGACAGATTGTTATTCGAGATGTGGTCCGGTACTCTGTCTGCAGCATCACCATCATCTGTGAGCTTGTTGGAAACACAGAGTCCCAGGCCTCACCCCAGCCCTACTGAATCAGAATTTGCTTCTTTTTTTTT